GCAGCGCTTTCCCTATTCAGCTGTACGAAGACAGGTTTACCTCACAGCGCTGTACAGCTGCAAGTGTAGCCAAGGCCTTAGCTGGAGGGCATAGCAGGACTGATGTCAGGAACAAGGCCTAGCAAAGGCGGCTTGGAGGATAGCCTTTCTACCCATCAGGTTAAGGTCTCTCGAGCTCTAGCCGCTGTCCTAGATTCTAAGTACAGTCTTTGCTCTCTGTACCTTTACCACTTGTATTTTTCTTGGTATCAAATTAATTTCAGCTTTTACCCAGTGCAGCTTTTAGCTGACTATGTCTTGCAGTGCTATCAATCAGAGCTGGAGGACTACCCGAATTAACTTACCTGAATTTGGATTGGGAGATTGTCTTTGACTGTATATAACAAGGTCTTTGTGGGTTTTTCTTTGCACATGAGAACCAGCTCCAAATCCATGTCATCCTTTATCAGCAAGCCCTTTGCAACCAAACCAATTCTCATCACACCACATAAGGTCCGACCACCTTGATCCCTGGAAATGAAACATGTCTGAATAATTACAGTGATATTTTCACACTTAACCCACTACCACCACCACCACCACCCTATTGTAGCAAGAGAACAGAGACGGATGGAAACAATTCCAGCATTTCTGCAACGCATCAGTGACAGGTTCATGAAAAGCACTGACTGCTTTTCTGCAAGTAGCCAACAGGAAAATGATGGAAATGAATGTGAACATGCATGGCAACGCTTCTGTAGTCGCAGAATTGTGAATCAAAGGTTTGGATTAAGTTACGAAGCTCCAAGCAGTTCACTGCCTAACTGCAGGAGAAGGAGAGCGCACACGAGCCTGGAGTCAAGTTTTCAGAACAGCTCTTAGAAGCCTAAGACCCATGTTCAAAAGTGACTTGGACACTTATGAGCCTAAGCCCCATTGTCTTTCAACGAGACTTATGCTTCTAAGGGCCCCGGCACGCCCGACAGCGGGGGCCCCGGCACGCCCGACAGCGGGGGCCTACAACTTCTTTTACGTGTATTTTTTTAAGCTTGTAACTTCAAAATATTGTGCAAACCATTTCTGTAGCTTTGTGAATACTGCAAACACTAGATACTTTAGGAAGGCTCCCCATTTCAAGCAATCTTCCCTGTAGGAGCCCTTCAAAAATTCTCACCACTGAAAGCTAGAAGAATCAGAGGCTGGAAAATCAGACTTAAATATTTTCCTGGTTTTCTCTGGAGACTCAAGAGCCACAGTAAATGTCATCGGTTTCAAAGCAAGATAAATGACACTTCAGCTTTGAGTGCTGACAACAAGCAATTGAGCAGCCCAAGAGTGCACAAACCAGCAGGAATCCACGGAAACAGAAGAGCAGCACTCACACCTACTGCCATTCACACGCAGGCACTCCTGACTGAGAGATGCCTCTTGGATGCTGCAGCACTAGCTAGTGGCATATCACTGTGCTCCACACCCCCTGGGAAGGGTTGTAAGCGTTGGAGTGGTGAAAACAGCCTCAGCTAGAGAGGCAGCTGTGCAGTTAATGGCACCTGAACATCTCACACCGGGATAGGATCTGATCATCCACAGTCATATAGTGCACCCTGAGCCTCTCTCATACGTCTACCTTCACCTACACGGGCACAGCTGGGTATACTTGGAAGGGATGGACAAGGACTGTCTCCTATTACCTAAATAGCAGAGACACAGAAGCCTTGGCTACACTCGCAGATTCACAGCGCTGCCAAGTGTAGTCGCGCCGCCAGCGCTGCGCAGTGGTGCAAGTGCTCCACCTCTCCGAGGGGAATAGCGTGCAGCGCTGCAGGCGCTGATTACACTGGCGCTTTATAGCGCTGCGCTCGCTACGCTCAGAGGGGTGTTTTTTCACACCCCTGAGCGCAGCAAGTGCAGCGCTGTGAATTGCCAGTGTGGCCAAGGCCAGAGTGGGAAGGAAGGAGGCAGAGACAGGAAAGTGAGACACTCTCAAGGTCACACCAGATGGTCAGTGGCAGAGCTGGGGATAGAGCTCAGGTCTCCAGATTTCCACTGCAGGGCCCCAGTCATTAGAACTTGTAAATCCCTTTCACTTGCTGGTTCTAGAAAATTAGCCAGATGCTGCAGCATTTGGCTGCTAATCTGGCAGGGAAGAATAATTCTTTTAAAAAAACTTACTATTTTGCAGGGTGTGATGGGTTTAGCTTGAATTGTTTCTTTTATCCTTGTCAACCTGCATGGGAATTTCTAAAATAATCCACTACATACTAAAAGAAGTATTTCCACTGAGGAGTTTCAAAGTTCACAGAAACATTTTTAATGCTGCTAGGCTTTGTCTGTTTTCATAAAGCCTGAGCTGCCCGGACAGCGTTCGTTTCATACACAATGACAGGGCAAACACCTGCCTCTCTCTGGCACGGGAGGAACCGTTTGGTAATGCTTTGCACAGCATGCTGAAGATGCAAACTGCACTGTAAACGTTTACAATGAATAATAATCAGGTTGCTTGTTTTAGTGTCAACTTTTCCTGGCTGCAATCTGCTAAATTTGGCCAAGAAGTCCCAGAGCCAGCGTTACGTCACAGTTTGTTCAACTCTGGCTAAGGGTGGGTTTCAGAGCTACCCCTGGATTCTTGTGCCCAGACTAGTGGAAAAGAGACCTGCTGCAGCTGAGACTTCTTCACTGTAAAGGAAAGGCATTCAGGCAAGCCCCACGGTCTGGACATGCCCACATTTCCCCCACCCAGAGCTGGTGCTGGCAGCCAGCTAGTCACCATGTCAGTTGGGCTGGAGGCAGGCGGTGTGAAGGAGAAGTGGCACCAGTCACAGCTAGAAGGGGAGATTCACACAGCCTGGATTACTCTTTGCCCTAGTTTCCATCACAGTTTTGTCCTGCTTTGCTGCTTGTAAAAATTCTTCCAATCATCACGTTCCCTCCTCTGCAAGAGCAGGGATGGATGTAAATTCTCCATACCTTTAAGGCCAGCAGGCAACACTCGATCTGTCCAAGCAGCTGGCTTTGATACAAAATTCTACAGAAAGTGCTCTCGACTTTTTGCTTTATAAAAACCAGCTGGAGAGAGGGGGAAGGAAGAGAAATAGCCCAAACTCGCCATGTCTGCGCTTTGACACCTGACACCTGCTATTCTCCAGCCTGCTGACTTTTTGTCAGAGCATCTGTAGACAGGAGATTTATTAGAGAGGGGACCTGGGCACTTATAAAAATGCACTCTAAATTTAGAACGCAGCAAGAACATAAAACATCCTGCACACAAAATCATGACATTGAAGTCAGGCTGTTTGATTATGCCAACAGCCCTTAATACAAGCCAAGACTTTCACCAAAACAGTTTTAAAAAGCCCATTCTGCACTTATTTTATCCATGGCAGAAAGTAAAATGCTGCCAACAACACTTGGAAATTACTGACACAATGTGCACTGCATCCCACCTAAAGTCAGAGAAATCAAGAAAGTCCACCGCTCAGCAGAAAACTGACGTTAATTATCTTCCACAGAAGATGACACAGCTTAACTGCCCATCTCCAGGGAAGTAGCCTATCAATCTGCTGCTATTATTCCCTGGAGTCCACACAATCCCACTCCCTTAAACCAAATTTATGTAAAAAAAGTCATGAAATTTAAATATTTTGCCATTTCTATTCTCCACATACATTTCGCACTAAAAAGTGACACCTCGCTGCTCAGGCTAAGCACAAGAATGTTGAGAAGATCAGAAATGGGATCTGAGAATATTTATTAGTCAAAAAAGGGTGCGCAGAAAACAGACAACTAAATTGCAGGCCCACTTGTAGGGAGTTTGCTTTGCCCAGAACATTATGCGCTGACCTGGCTACTGGTGAGTGCATCTCCGTTAGTTCACTGTAGTCTGTTTATATGGTGCCTGTTAGCAGGGTTTCTCTCTGAAACTTCACTCTGAGTAAGCACATTTCCCAGAGACCCCAAGCTCTTGAAATGTGCATAGGACAGAATCAAGCAAATCCAGACAAAGGAGAAACTTTTGACTAGCAATGTTGGTGCATGAGAGAGTTTCTACCATTTCACCATATTTGTTGGGATTTTTAAGCAGATTGTGGGAGCGCTCACATACAGAGCTTTCCTCAACTAATATGGAACATTTCTTGGTTCTAAACTGGAGCATGTCCAGCTAGTAGGAAAAACAGAGCTTTGTTTCCCAGTTCCCTCACTCTTATACTGACACTTTAGTTGAGACCTGGAAATAACTAAAGACTATGTTACTTTTACCAGCACGATAGGGAATGGTCAGATTTAGGATTTGCCAATGCACATCAGGGTTCGTTATGGTAATTTTTATGACAGATTGGTGATCACTGCTTCCTTCACACTGAACCAGTAAATGAAATCTTCAGCCCAGATAAACGAATACAGCAGCACTTAAGGATACGGTCTTGCTGACTCAGAGCTGAATGTCTGCCACCTTCACCTCATACTGAGAAGTACCTTACTCCAGAATTAGTCCTCCTGGATTTCAATGAGATTACTGACAGAATCATAGAAAATCAGGGTTGGAAGGGACCTCAGGAGGTCATCTAGTCCAACCCCCTGCTCAAAGCAGACCAATCCTCAGACAGATTTTTGCCCCAGATCCCTAAATGGCCCCCTCAAGGATTGAACTCACAACCCTGGGTTTAGCAGGCTAATGCTCAAACCACTGAGCTATCCCTCCCCCCCGAGTAAAGTGATATTCACCACAAGGGCAGGTAGCAGAATTTGGCCATCAAAATATATTATCTAGTGCTGAGTACTAGCACTTGACCCCGTGGGCACTACCCAATATATTTACCCATGACTCCAAAAAACGGAAGAGACCTTCCATTACAATAAGCGATTTCAGACAATGTAGCAGATCAGCATGGATCACAGAGACCTTTCCACACCAATCTTAAAACCAGATCAGAACTCTCTGTGCAAAACTCACCCAGCAGCAACCCACATTAATAATCCACCACTTGTAGCAAGGAAAGTTAGAGGTAAAATCCAGGAACCGGCTCTCAGACCATGTTATGTTAACGATCCAATCAGATTATGTCCCAAGAAGGTCGTTATACTGGAGGAAGTATGGTCTGATGAGAGCACAGGACTGGGTCCTGCCACTGATTTGCTATGTGGCTTTGGATAAATCAGCCTCTCTGTGCCTCAGTTCCCTCATCTCTGAACTGGCCATAACGCTTACCTGGCTCAGAGTGTGACGCTAAGTTATCCGTACAGCCCTAGAGAGCCAAGAATGCCTGAGTTCGAGATCTTTAGCCATAAAAACCTGAAAAGGGGCCAGTTGTTCCAGCTGTTTCCTAAACTGTCAGAGTTAATCTAGAAGAGCAAAATCTGGCACCATGTCAAGGAACAGAGATGTGCAGCGACAGATGTTTTATGCAGTGCAGAATGACACGATGTACAGTAATGGCTCCTTTGGAGCAGTTAGCCTGTTGAATAAACAATACACATTTATAAATCCATTTTTGCCCATTAAACTGAAACAGCTCTGACGTCACGTTTGTGGATTTCGATTTGGGAGTTATAGGGAGATGCGTTTGTTTCTTCTATTTGTTAACTGCGAGTTTAAAACATTTCATTTTAAAAGTGAGAACAGCTCCTGACCAGGTTCCTATTCATTACTCACTCCCTGCACTCACGCAATGTGCTCGCATCTCAGAAGGAGTCCGGACACATCTACTTCCTGCGATGAACATTCATAACCAGCAAAGCCAAAGAACACTATGGCCCTTATTGAGCAGGAGAGAAATCCATTCATAGTAGTACAGTAGCTCATTATGAGGCTTAACTAACTCACTTGGCATTACTTTCTGCAGCTTCCTCTTTTGCTTCCCCATCTCCCTCGATTTTCACAGACTTGTTCATTTCATCCATCCAATCGGAGACATGTTTAAGGGCACATTCGACTGTCGACACCATGTTCTGGACAGCTTCAAGTTCCTCTGGAGATGGATAAATGGTTGAATGTTTCACCATAACATGGCGGTCATCATTAGCAAAAGATCGGATAGATCTCTGTTACAGAGGTGGGAAAGAGTAGGGGAAAAAAAAAAGAGTTATTGGCTTATTAAGAGAAGGGCATTATTTGAAAGGGAATCCTCCCCAATATAGACGAGGGGGTATTTTAGGATAACAAAGGTCTAGAATCATGGCAGAACTTATATCTCTTCTCTACCTGAAGTAGAGAGACCCAGCCGATTAAATGTGAAGTACTGAAAAAAACCAAACCGGCATAAACTGGTAGCAAAGTGCAACAGCACGTTGTGCCTGTGACTTGGCCATCATGAATATAGGTTGTAACGTTCTCTGTATCAGCTCCCAAACTACAGGCAGAAAAACTCAGGTCCAGAGCTAGAAAAATGCAAGAAGGAGAAATTTCTTCTATCTCCTTTACTCCACAAATGAGATCTCCAGAACTAGCCTTTTCACTCCCTTCTGCTATTCCCCATATTGTTTATCAGCTTCACCCAATAGCAACTGTAAGCTCCTGAGGACAGGGACTATGCACTTGGAAGTGCCAATGCACAGAAATGGCTGGTATAAATACCTGTCAAGCACTGTCCTAGCTAATCCAACCTGCAATGGTTAATAAAGGTATTGTTGGGTGCTTGCCTTGCATAACTTCGCCAAGAAATTTTCATTTTGGGGGGGGAAAAGCCATGGTTCTGATGAAGCATAAAGAGCCAGGGAGGTCTAGCAGACAGGGGGATGAATGAAGCAGCAGGAAATCTGGGTTCTGTTCCAGGCTCTGCCACTGACCTGCTGTGTAACCTTGGGAAAGTCACTTTCCCTCTGTGCCTGGTTTCTCCTCCCTCTCTTTGTCTAAGCTTTTCTAGGCAAGGGCTGTGGCCATGTCTGTGTCCACGCAGCACCTAGCACAGACCAGCACTAAGCTTGGGTGGGGCCGCTAGTCACCATGAGATACAAACAGTAAATAGTAACTACGAAGGAAGGAAGTGCATTCTGGGGTACTCTGTCCCTTTGTTCAGACCCCCAGCCCCTGAGTGGCTCCCAGGGGTCAGCTGGTCTGGTCCCAAAGAGGAAATTCGAGGGCTCCATGCACATGAAGGAAGTGCCAGGAAGTGGTCTTGTTTTGGGGGAGGTAATTTGGAAGAGAGGTGTCCTGGGGAGGAGGCTGAGAGAAGCTGCACTGCGTACAGGGCTTTGACAATGTGGGAGAACAACTCTGCCTGGCTAGACATGCCAAGACTGGCAGCTCTCCCCTCATGCTGGGTGCAGAGGCAGCCCGCCACGGCACGGCAGCCCGGCAGCCTCTCGCTCTACGAGTTTGGTGCTGCCAAGCCTCGGATATTGCACCTGGGTCTGGAGCAACTACACATCACTAGGAAAATCCTGACAGACCGGAGGGAATTCAGCGAAGAGCATGAAAAATGGCTAGGAAGGAGGCTGGAAGGGAAGGGTTAAGCTTGTGAGGAAAGAGTAAAATAATCAAATAGAAAAAACAAGGGGTTAAAGGATCCCGAGTGAAGAATGGCTTGTAGGGAGGGCGCCCGAAGTTCCACAATCGGGTGAGGTGGCACAGAGACCTGTGACCTGATTGGAGACATCTAGTTGCCATGCCATCCAGGCAAGACATGCATGATCTGAAAAGTTAGTGAACCAGCATGGGCAGCCACTATCTATCAGGTGTTTCCCCTTCAGCCACATGTAACCCTGTTCCCTATGAACAGGGGAGAATCAAAAATATTCCCAGTACATGGATCACAGGGCCTTCCCCTGCCGCCCCGCTGACCGCTGCACTCTTGCTAATCGTTTACTTCCATAAACTGCATTTATCCTGCAGGGAAGGGGAATCTTTCCCCCTACTTCACAGCTTGTAACCATGCCTGAGCTCAGAGACAGCAGGGCCTGTAACGGATCCAAGCAGTCTCATTGCTGAGTCTGCACTTAGTTCTCCTATCCCACAGGCCATGTACATGCTCCGGGAGAAGCGCCTTGGTTCACAGGTGAGGCGTGCTCCCCCAGCGCCCCTCCCAGGACTCTCACACTAGAATTCCATTCCCAAAGGTCGCTGCTGTCGTGCATCTCAATTACAAACCGAGACACGACTGCAGCTCAGCAGTCAATCGGTGACATGGATTTGTGAATTCACCTCCACCCAAAGTATGTCCCCTCCTCCCCAAATCTCTCCACTTGTGAACACGGATTATAGAAAATACTCCAGCAGCGGCAAACTGATAAGCCTGTAACTTGTGTATTAGAAACACACGGTTACCTCACTAACGGGCAATGGCAAAAGAAGTACTAAGCAAGAGAATCTGGGTCAAGAATTCATAGGACCCAGCAAGCGTTCCATTTAAAGTCCAATCTGTGCCCTGTGTTCCCTGAGGTCCCTTTTCCCCCAGAGCGGTCTTCTCCCTACAGAGGGTGAAATCTTAGGGTGTGTTTGGCTGGGTTATTTTTAATGGATTTCGTTAGCAATCATCTACTCAAATCGGAATACAGTACTTTATTGTAAATATAATGCTGCGCCTATTCGCTCCTCCCCGTCTCACAGCAACAACATTTAGAGGGCTTAAAAAAAAAAAATCAATAGGCTGAAATTACTCACAACAGCTGGCTCTCAGGAATTAGTTAATTGGGTGGGGTTTTCCCCCTTCCTTGAATGCATTTTAGAAAAACTAACCATTCCAAGCCCTTCACATTTGCACAGCTTTGCAAATTCAATGCGTCTCTGACTCTTGCAATTTGTAACCGATACAAGCAGGCAGATTGGAAGTGACTCCTCACTTAGTCATCAAATATGCCCCAATGGGTACGGGTTACATATGTATCATATCTATGCTATTAATAGGTGCGCACAGAGCTCAGGCTTTTAATTTTTAACACTAAAATATATAGAGAGCCAACATCTGATCTTGTGGGGAAGGGGTGGGTGGGGAGTGTCAGAGTTTGTTATGCAATCCACAGTTCAAGGTCACCCACACTCTGCAAAGCTTGCTAATGCCAGTTTTATTAGAAAAGGTTATTTATGAGCATCCCCTTCATTGGTGTTTAATAATTCATGTGCTGCAGGCTCACAAGGCTCCATTCTCCGGTTAGAAAAGGCCCCAGCAATAAATCAAAGCCCATTTGCTTTGCTTAAACCACGTGGAGACATCTTTAATGCAGCAGAGTCAGAAAATCCTTCCACTCTTGTTTTAACAGATTCCATAACGGGCTAGGGGTGGAGAATAATTTTAATGCAGCCATATTAATGAAGACAGTTACCTACCATGGTTTGCTAGAGTCTCAGCTCCGCTCCCCCTCCCCCTTCTCCTTTTCCCTCCTCCTCGGTATCTTTGCTAGGCACTGTTTTTGCCTGACAGAACCTCCTCATAAGCCTCTCAATCCCCTGCCAGCTCAAGAGTTCATACAGGCGAGATGCTCCGGGAGTCGCTTTCTGCAATACAACACCTGCAAATAGAGAGAGAGAGAAACAACTTGGAGAGAAGAAACCACATGCTCATTTTGATTGCTTTTCAAAGCAGCACATTAAACCAAGCCACTGATTAAAGCAGCAGGCTTCAAAAGGAGGGGGGAGGAAATCATCAATGCTGAACAAAAAGCAGATGTCTCTATAGAAAGCAACCTTTTTTAAAAAAAAAAACATGCCCACATACATGTTACTGCTTTCCCGTGCCATCCTCATCTAGGTTCATCAGCCGAGAAGCAACTGGCATTCAAAAGCTCTGACACCAGGCAGTTCTGAATTCCAGGGTATTTAGTACAGTTGATATGAAGTCAGCTACAAAACTGGTGTGATACTTTTATCCATAAATCACATTCTTGGGCACTGAATTACTTTTCATTTATTATTTGTACTTCATTAGTGCCCCAAGACCCCAATCAGCATGATGGCCCCAAGCGTGCCAGGTGCTGTACAAATGTATAGTAAGAAAGAGTCCCTGCCACAAACAACTACAGGTTGAGGTTTTCAAAGCAGGGCAGGGGATTTAGTCCCAATCTAACGGAAATTCACGGGGGAACCCATGGCTAAATCACCTGGCACCACTCTGAAAACCTCACCCATGACCTCTGAGCCCCCAGCTGACACTGCGCATCTGTGCTGCTTTCCACAGCACCTCACAGGCAAGAGAGCCCATGGACAGCAAGCCTTGGCAAAACTGGGGAATACCAGGCATTTCTCCTCTGAATCTTGTTGCAACAGAACAGGTAACCCTCTCTGCACCTGAGAAAAGTCTTCGCTCGTGTCTGCTATTTGTAGTGGAATGTGGTATTTCATGTCAGGGAAGACCCAAAACCCAGGGGAGTTTCTCTCTTTGGCGGGGGTGGAGGTGGGGGGTTGTAAATGAAGAAATCAGTCTCCAAAAGTGCAGTGTTAGGAGCTGACAGGAAACTGCAGCAGGGTCAGAGAGGGAAACACACAACAATCCAGGCTGGGCTCTGTTCTAGGCCATTCCCGCTCTTACACTTGAAGGCTAGGGCCTGTGCACCCTGGGTGCAAAGCACTATGCAGAACCTTCATCAACACCTGCAGTCTGGCTCACTTTCTGTTCTAGCCATATTGGCAAAGCTAAAAAGAAAAACATAGAAATAAGAGCACAAAGCTCCCTCCCCTATCCCGGAGCAACAGGCACCATTATTGGGGGACCACCACGATGCAACTGCAAATAGATGCTTGGCAAGAAGGAGGAGGACACAGTGACGGAGCAAGTACCACGTGACAGAAAGGAGCGCGTCTGAGCTCAGGGTGCGCTATGGAACCCCAGTCCTTGCAAAGAACTCCTGCTTTCCTCTCATTCCGTATACCACCACCAGAACTTTAAAATCCTGCCGTGCTCTCTTTTTCGTGTGTCATTCGATCCTGCACATCAAACGATACGTTGCATATTGTCTGTCAAACAATCCTGACATTGTTAAAGGTTAAGCCTGCTTTTGCCAACAGGCAGGGACGGGAGAAGTTACTTGAAAGCATAGTAGGTGCTTTAACTACAGAGGTGTGACAAAATTATTAAAATGTTGCACCCCGAACGGATTCGAACCCAGCTAGAGAGGGAGCAACACAGTCCACTTCACTGTGCCCCTATTAAGAAGTGAAGCAGATTTACAGGATAATAGCTTTGGGAGCAATTGGTTGTCTATAAAGACGTCCCTCCGAACTCCAGACTATGCACCTGGGATACAGTACAGTGCAACAACCAACCAACCAGTGAAAGGGTCTGGTACAGGGCCCCCTTCTGGTTAAATATGGGGATGGGTGGAGGAACATATAAATAATGAAGCGGTCAGATGTGGTTACAGTAAACAGTTTTTTGGGGGGAGAGGGGTGGGGTGGGCAGGGCAGGTTCATAGGGAGAGAAATGGATTGAGATGAACCTTGAGGGACTTAGTTCCTCAAGTCCCGCCAGAAAGGCTGCATTGGCTGCTACCCTAACATGGGACGATGGCAGCACTAACAGTTTAGGGCAGCCAAGTGCACAAATCCCCCTGGAGAGGCTCACAGAAGCCAGGGCCTCTGCTAACAAAGGGCCCTGAAAGCTCAACAGGGACAGAGCTTGGACAATAAGCACAGGTATATTTGCCTTTAGATCCAAGTTAGAGTGCCCTATTTCCATGGCGGGGCCAACAGGCTAAGACTCCCTCTCCGCCGATGCAGCCCCCCCACAGCACACACCCACGACCTGCTGAGCTCTCCAGCCTCGGAAAATTCCAATCCCGCCCTCCCACTGCAGGCTGAGATGCCAAAGCTGCCATTAAAATCCCAACGGGAACTGGGGTCCAAGCCCTGGGGCAGCTTTTGAAGTCTCAGACTTACTCTGCGCAGACCCAATTCTTGCAAATGCTCCTATACGCAGAGAACTACTCACTTGTGTCGCCCCACTGATGTCAATGGTCACCTCACGTGAGTAGAGTTACACACATTTAAGTGATTGCAAATTGGGGCCCAGGGCAGCAAGCCTTGGACTTGGACTTCCAGGCATTCGTGCACCTCCTCCTGCCCGGTGAACAGCTGCTGAGGCCAGGACAGTGTCCCGGGTATGGAAACAGAGCCCATTGCAGCCAAACTGCAAAATCCAAACTGTCCTTTAAAATAACCCCCATTTCTGCCCTTTCCACACCACCTTGTTCAGCCCTCAAATACCGCTCCCTTGCCCTTGGGCTAACAGGAAACACGTGAGCACCACACCCTCCACCCAACCCTGTCAGCCAGGGCCCAGTCTGCAGTCTTCCGCCACTGCTCAGCACAGCCACAGTGCGTCAAACATTCTTCACCAGAGCAGCCGAATGGCTTAAAAACACAGGACGGGGAGTCTGGACTCCTGGTTCTAGTCACAGCTCTGCCACTGGTTTTCATCTGGCTGAGTCCGGCTCTGTGCCCGAGTACCCCCTAGCTGCAAAGCAGGGGTAACATGTCCCCACCTCGCAGGACTGCTGGGTGGTTTCCGATAGGTGTCTCAAGCTTTTCCTCTGCCTGTTATTCATGGTCCCAGCCTACCAATCCATCCAAGACAAGCTCTCCGTTCAAACCACGACCTGTTTTCATGCTACTTTTTATCCTCATCATTTCTGCCTTTTGTATTTTCCAGCCTTCCTTCCTCCTGCAAGCACACGATGGAGATTCTCTCTCGGACCAAGAGCCACGAGGTGGAAGGCCTCTAACTGGCTTTAGCGAACGTGCCCATCACCACAGTCTTTAGACACCAAGCTACGCTCCAGCCTGGACTCCCGTCCAGGACTGCTGTAAGTGGAGGTTATAGGTGACAACACACTGAAAGCAGATGGATGGAAATGGCTGAGTGAGCAAATTCTGGTGCTTCACTAAATTGCTGGGCAGACGGTACTGTCTAGAGGCCAAGCCTGCAATCCACCTCTTGAGCTCCGAGAACAAATGTACCTCAGGGTGCAATTCCGCGGGCACTGAGCTCTTTTCTGTATACTCTGAAAACCTGAAATAACTTGAAAGCAAATGTTTACAGCTGTGACCGGGGCTAATTTCTCTCTGCTGCACAGTGGACGTGTTATGCAGCATCAACACCTTTCAATGCTATCCTTGAGAGGCAGAACAATGCAGCTTTTCAGAGAGGCTCCCGGTTTCATTAACAAGCAAAACAAGTCAGGCAAGAGTCACCATTAATCCAGTTCTACCTGCCCTTTTCCCCAAAAGTGAGCGATTGAGGTCTGGGGACATGGCTGCATTGTGCTCCGATTAGGGAGGGCGTTACAGATGACAGCATCTTCATTAATATTATTCAGGAAGAAGGAGAAAAATCACCACACACAATTCTAGCTGGAGCTGTTTTGCAGTGTTCTTCCAAATTATCAATTGCCCAACAATACTTCTCAGAAGTGTCCGCACAAAAAAAACCAAACATGTAATGCAGTTCAGGCCTGGGAGAGAACGTTTAATAAGACCACTAAACAGAATGGAGCCTGCTTTCTAAAAATTCAGATGCTACTTTAAGAACAAGGCACAGAGTGGAAAATAAACAGGAGCCAAGCAGTCGCAGCCATCTGGATTGAGCGCTACGGACTGTGCTTATTACCAGGCCCATCAGAAGGGATTCAGAGAAACGGACTGCAATCCTTCTAATCCAGCAGCTTTGTTCTGCCACTAACTCACTACAGAGCATCTATGCTAGGACCAGCCCCCAACTGAGACAGCTCCATCCGTGGCTGCAACACTCACGGACAGAGGCCATCTGCGGCAGCAGCACTAGCTGGGAGAGGACGGTTGGCGTTGCTAAGGAGTGGCCTAAAGGACATGATGGTAAAAGCCGCTTATGTCTGGGCTACAACACAGCTAGCGCCACCACAGCTTGCAATGAATTTTCTAGGAAAAGCCTCTAGGGTAAACAAAGCCACGAGTGACCTCGGGAAAGTCACTTACCGTCTCTGTGCCTCACTCCCCATCTGTAAAATGGGCACAATACTGCCTCACCTCACCGCGGCCAGGTGAGAGGATTGATGTGATTTTTTTAATCCTCAAACAGCAGGCACTATAGCAATGTGAAGTGTTATTACACACCAGCATTAAATAAGGTAACTCATGCGCTCTCTAAACTGTCTCCACAGCAGGTCTGGGAATAACCAGAACACCGACGTTTAAAAACACACCGTCTCTCCACAGAAGAAAAACACATCAGGAAATGGGCTCTCGAGGCTCATCTTAATCCTAATGTAACCAATTTAGCAGTGGCTGCAGCATGCCTGGGCCTCCATGCCCAGCAGCATGGCCACAGAGGGCCCAGAAACGTTTCCATTGAACACCCCATCCTTCACAAGGAACTTCTGGAGTGGGCACGAGATGAGTGAAGGAAAGAGTTTGATATGTGGCCTTAATAATGGGGTTTATTCCTGCAGCTGTCAGTGCTTCCTGGACTTAAAGATGCTCATTTAAATAAACAGTTTTGGACATACCCTTTGGCTGTCTTTAGATAACTTCTGATTGGCAA